AGGTGGCAACCTATCACGGTACCACACTTGAATTCACTGAGCTCCTGAGAGTGACCCATTCTTTCACAAATGTTTGTAAAAGCGTCTGCAGGCCTAGGTGCTTGATTTTATACACCTGTGGCCATGGAGGTGATTGGAACACCTGAATCCAATGATTTGGAAGGGCGTCCCAATACTTTTGGCAATATTGTGTGTGTGTGTGTGTGTAAAGAAAATATTACACATTCCCTTTAACAGACAGAAGTCCTGCACCCCAGCAACCTCCCTAGATTCAAGTGCTGTATTCAGTTAAAATACAGAATTTGGGATCCAAAGTTAATAGTCGAATATAAATGTGTAGCTGTAGGAAATACACAGACGTTTCTCTTGTACCTGTGAACTATTTTGCCTTAAACCTACTTTGTGATGCTAGGAAATTATATATTTTTTATTAAGCTGCAGCAGAATCTTTATTGAGCCTACAGGGTGAGTTTTTTTTTTTACTGAGGTGTTTGATCATTTTCAAATCCATCACTAAAGGGGACGGCTTGTCATCTAGTTCAGGAGTATATGGGTCAACTGGGATTAAAGAATCGCTGATGATTTCAGAATCCTGAATTTATTTACTGTGTACATTGTAGGCATTTCTGTACTGCTTGTTGTACCAGCTTCATGTTGTAACTATACTCTACAGTTGTTCATAGAATTAAAGGGATATAGCTTTTCATTGTTTTAAAAGGTAGGTGATCCTTCCAGACTCTCCAGCATGACCAACCCTGTAATATGTGAAATACTGCTCCTACACATATCTAAATGAACTTTAGAGTTTTTATAACAGTCAAATATTTTAAAGGAGACCTATACTCGGACAACAAGCCCCTTTAACCACTCCAGTACCATGTTAAACCTCCTCGCCAGGCCTTTTTTCCATTTTCAGTACTCTTCAGAACTTTTTTTTTACTAATATAAAGAGAAAAAAAGACCCCAAAAAACAAACAAACTAATTTTTCTCTTATTTTTTTATGTTCTAAAACGTAGCAAATAAAAATTCCAGGACAATATGAAAACCCCCGAAATAACCCCTTTTTGGAAAGTAGACACCCCAAGGTGATCCTATTATTGTTCTACATTTAATTTTTTTTTTTTTTGATTGAACAAACATGCTGACATTGAGGGAGTTAAAACATGGAGCTTGGTAATGCTATACTAGATACATTAAATGTACAGGACATACACAGAGGGAGGGGGAGGTGAAGGGGTTAATGTACAGGTCACATACAGTGGGAGGTGCATGGTACAGTGCATGGTTAAGGGAGGTGAAAGTGTTTTAGTATACAGGTCAGAGCAGAGATAGAATGGAGTTGACATACTGTAGAGAAGAGGGGGTAAAAGGATTAAACATTTAACATTATTCTGTTTTATTATTTCTTGCTTTTGCTGCCGCTTTCACCAGGAACTAATTAATGAATTAATCATTTATTTAATAGTTTATTTGCTCCCCCCTTCCTCTTTTGTAAGAGGAAGGAGAGGGCTTGTCAATATAAACATTACTGTGATAACGAATCACAGCAACCATAAGGCACAGAGCCGGTCTGATTGACTCTGTCCCTGCAGCTGCCTGATAACGGCATCAGTGTAAAGGTGCCCATACACCTGCCGATTTAGCGTACGATAATCAGCAGATGTATGGAAGGCATGTGACCGCTTCTACTGTGCGGTCGCACGTCTTTTGTCTCCCGAGCACGCTTGAAAACCTGCCGAAAAGTTAGTGGCGTGCTCGGAAGACAAATGCCAAACGGGCCGGTGTGCGCAAGTGTGTGTGTCGCTTACCTGGAGAAGAGATGGCACCAGGATGCACTATGGGGCGAAGTCAAGCCGGCAGCTGAAGTATAATGCCGTATGCAATATTCCGCTGGAAAACCTTAAGTTCTGCCATTCATGTAGATGTTACTTTGAATCCTCCTAATTCTCCAGATCTCAATCCAATCGAACATCTGTGGGATGTGCTGGAAAAACCAGTCCGATCCATGGAGGCCACACCTCGCAACTTACAGGACTTAGATCTGCTACTTACAGCTTAGTGCCAGATACTGCAGCATACCTTGAATGGTCTAGTGGAATCCATGCCTCAATGAGTTGGGGCTTGTTATAGCTGATCGTTGTATGTGTAAGTATGGTGAAGTGAAAATTCATTGTGGAAAGAATACCCAATCATGTTTAAGGAAAATTTAAAAAACAAGATTTTTTTTTTTTCTACTACACATGATTGGATGAATAAAGTAAGCACTGTGTCAATTCATTTACTAAGTTTAGGGGAAAATTCACTCAACTTAGTGAATGAAGTCAGCACAGCTTTAGCCGAATAGCGAAAAAAAATCTGTTTTTCCAAAATTAAGCATTCTTGCAAAGTGAATTTTAACTTTGGCTTCACATCATTCACTAAGCTATGCAAAAATTAACTTACCTGTAAAGAAAATATGTAATGCCTACCTGTCTTGCTTGCTACTTCACTGGTCTTAGCTCTTATGCATTTATTTGGTGGAAGATTTTTCTGCATGCTTTCAGGAGTGTCAGATGCCTCGTCCCTCCCTGAGCTATGTTGTTCCATCCACTGGACCTTACTTCACTACAGGACACCGAGGTAATGTAGGGACCGCCAAATGAAACCACATTCTTCCGGGACTGGGCAGCCAACTCGCCCAGAAGTGTGCGATGCGGAAGAGTCTTTAGCCACCATATCACTGCAATAGAGCCAAGACTGCTTAAGTGACCTTAAAGTCAAGTATAATGTAGGGATGTCCAGATACCTGTGCCGATACTTGGCATTTTCACAAGAACTATCAGGGTTGAAGCTGGGCCCTGGCTCTGGCGCTCCACCATTGTCCTGAAATCAATAGTCTGTATTGTTTTAGAAAAACTGCCACATGACAATAAACAAAAATTTATCAGCACTTGTATCTGTGAGTACTTGGACAAGTATCAGTACTTGTAAAAAAAAATCCAAGTACCTGTACTTGGAAAAATGGTATTGGTGCACCACTTATCTATATTTATAAAAAAAACAATAATGCATAAAACTGCACAAATCCCAGGAGCTCCGTATGCTCCTTACAAAGGACAGCTGCTCACTTTAGGATTTTTATCTAGTCTAGTCCTGGAGCTGGAAAAGTATCTGCACATGTTCTTGTACCGAGTTCAGTACTTGGTATCTGAACATCCCTAGTATAATGTCTTTTCTTCAAACGTAGCACGTTAAAAAAAAACCCGTTCTCCTGCAACAGAGGCTCTTTTGGTGCTAATGTGTGGGGAGTTAAATGTGCATGCCAGAAATGCCATCTCAAAGAAAATCTTCCTTCATATACAATTATTCCTATTTGCTCCAAGAATGTAAAGGAAAGGGGGGTACCTGTATCAAGGTTCCCCTCCTTCATGGGAACGCGGCAATGGGAGTCTCAGTTCCTCCCTCTGCTGCACCTGTTGCTCACGAGGACTCGAGGCAAGTCATCTGATAAGGATGAGCTGGTTTAAGTTGTTAAATATGGTTTGAGGGGTTTTTTTTGACGATTTTAATGTTCTATTTATTTAAACCAATAATAAAGGGCTGCGGCCAATTTTTTTTATCCAACTTGCTGTTTGTTTGCATTTCTTTATTGAATATTATATTTGCTTGCCTACTGCCTGCGATCTCAGGGAGTTTGTGGCAATTTAGCTTTATTCCTGAGGTAGTCAATAAGGGCTTGATTCTGAGAACTGATGCACAGAAAATTAAAGTTGTTGCTATAGCTTTTATTTTCACAAGAAAAAAAAATGAAAACTTTGGTTGCTGTGAACCACATCCAGATTTCCTTTATTGCAGTTTTAGAAATCAGTTTTCATCTTCCGTCACCTTTTCTGGTCTGTGTTCGTTAGATCTCTGGTCAGCATGATGCATGCAAGAGTAAATTAAACCTTCCTTGAAATGTTTACATGGCCCCCATAGCATGGTCTGTGCCAAGATAACAGCTGTATTTCTACTTGTGTTTTTATTAGTCCCCCACCCTCCTTTTTTTTGGGGGGGGGGGCTTTTCTCATCCATGCTGTTTTCCGATTCTCCTGTTCTGTAGAAAAACAGGCCTGTAAACTGAGGCTAGGCAGAGATAAAAATTATTCCTCTCACAAATTTCTTCATGTGTTTAAGTATTTATGGATCTGTCAGGGGCACAGACTTCTTTTTTACAATCAGTAACTTCAGAATATAGCTTTGGCTAACTGCACTTTTCTGAATTTAGAATAAAGGGGGATTAATGAGGTGTGAGGAAGAAACATGGATCCATAGCAGTTTACACATTCAGCATTTACTGGCTGTTCTTTGCAGACTTTCAGGACTTTATGCCAAGCTCTGTTTTCCATATAGATAGACTAGACTAGGGTAGGGCTATGGGCCACACTGTTTTTGGCAAGCATATTAATTTTATAAAAGGGTTTTCACAGTACAGTCTAGCCAAAATAATTATTTTTGTTTTAAATAGAGATGAATGGTTAAGTCCCTGTAATTTTTTCCCTGTCTTTGTCCCTTTGGGGAGATTGCCCTATACTGCCATGTCCATCTTAAGCTGGCCAGGCGCTGGTAAATTTTTGTACAAAAGTTCATATGAAAAATCTCATCAGGACATTCGTCAGAGAATTTACAATTGATCAAATTTTTTTTTGATTTTAACATTCGAATTTGTAGTGAATGGAGTATCTTGAATGTTCATTCAAGCAAAAGTTTCCATCCTGCACTTTTTGTCGCTGTATTCAAAATCAATTTCACTTTGACCCCATTTACTACTAGAAGTTTTAAAATTATACATATTGGAACACTTTGGGATTTTAGGTACCTGAGATATTCTAGAATATGTTTATGCAGGTTGTTCAGTAGCATTGTGAAACTGAGGGGTTTACTATGCTTCATGGAAATATTATCACATAAACATTTATGCTATATGTAGGTTTGTGTATTGTTGTATCTCATACATGGCTGTCTTTTCTTTCCCCTAAAGGGTGTGCTCTCCAACATCTCCTCCATTACTGACCTTGGGGGATTTGACCCCGTCTGGCTATTCCTGGTAGTAGGAGGGGTGATGTTCATCCTGGGCTTTGCTGGGTGTATCGGTGCCCTCCGGGAAAACACCTTTCTCTTAAAATTTGTAAGTAGATTGGAAAATCTATTTTGCTTCTTTCATGTATGATACACTTGGGTAGATGTGAATTGCAATCAAGTTTCTTTATGTATGTATATATTCTCATTCCTAGCCAGGAGATGTAGCTTCATGCTCTTGTCAGAATTACTTTCTTTACTTGTTTAACCCTTTCCAGGGGTCTTTGTTGCCTACATGTTGTTTAATGTAACAATAACATCCAATTTGCATATGGAAATGTGTGTATGTATGTATGTGTGTGTGTGTGTGTGTATATGTATATATATGTATATATGTATATATATTAGGGCTGCAACAACTAATCGACATAATCGATTATTGAAAAAGTTGTCAACTTTTTCAATAATCGATTAATCGGCTTCCGATCAGTTGGCCCTGTTCACAGCTCCGCACGCTGTGCGCCGCACCTCCTCCCCACCTCACGCTTGCCGCTGCCAGACCCGCTCGCATTCACGCGCCACACGCCGCACCTCCTCCCCGCGTCACATTTCCTGCCCATCCACATCCACGATCGGCAAGGGACGCGGGGAGATGTAGTAAGGAGGAGCAGGTGTGGGGGGATGACAGCCGCTGATAGACAGGTCCAATCTCAGAAGCAAGTTGCTGGAAGACTGCTCAGGTAAGCCTGCACTTTCCCACACATGGTACTCTATAATGTATTGCTGGGATTTGTATTTCTCTATAGCTGATGGTACATTGTGCTGTATATTATACATAGGAATACAAATCCCACAAATACATTATACACTGTATGTATAATGTATTGCTGGGATTTGTTGTACTCCTCTATAGCTGGTGATATTCTGTATTGCGCTGTACAGAGGACTACAAGTCACAGCAATAATACATTATACAGTGCAATGCGGAATACCACCAGCTATAGAGGAGTACAACAAATCCCAGCAATAATACATTATAAAGTGTTACAATGCTAAATACCACCAGCTATACAGGACTACAAAACCTAGCAATAGTACATTATACAGCGCAATGCGGAATACCACCAGCTATAGAGGACTACAACAAATCCCAGCAATAGTACGTTATAAAGTGGTATAATGCTAAATACCACCAGCTATACAGGACTACAAAACCTAGCAATAGTACATTATGCAGCGCAATGCAGAATACCGCCAGCTATATTGTACTATTGCTAGGATGTGTTGTATTCCTCTATAGCTGGCGGTATTCTGCATTGCACTGTATAATGTGCTTTTGCAGTCCTCTACAGCCGGTGCCATTCTGCATGCATTGCTGTATAATTTTACACTTTCCATTTCACTATATTGCACACCACACTATCTTTTTTCTTTTTTACTTCCACCGCTCAAGCTTGCTCCTGTGATGGACTACAACCTCAATACAAACTAGTAGTCCCATCACTGGAGCCATTTTTTAAACTTTATTTTATTGTTTATCCGATTAACCGATTAATCGAACCTAATAATCGGCTAACTAATCGATTTTGAAAATAATCGTTAGCTGCAGCTCTAATATATATATATATATATATATATGTTGATGTATATGTGTGTTTTTTTTATTCATTTTATTTTACTAGTGAAACTGTGACTGACAGTTGAGCAATTAAATACATTGGATTACAGTTGAACCTTGCAGGCTGAAGGTGGCAGTGTTCATTGGCAGGTTGAAGCTCTTGTTTACCATCAAAACTATAAAGGAGTGCTAGGAATCGGTCACAGTCAGGATGGAGAACCATAAGTAGCAAAGTGTTCTCAAAGGGGTTTAACATAAATTAATGTAACCTGGCACGGGACATTGTGCCAAGGAACGTTGATGTACAGATTGCAGGTAGGAAGGGTTTAAAAATCTCAATAGCTGAAGCTGTAATTTATACACACAAGTGAGTCATCACACTCCCTCTATATGGCTCTATCTGAGATTTAAATGAGAGGCAGAGAGGGACACAGGGGAAGGGAGTCTGCGGCATTCTCTGTTTAAAAAATGCATAGTGCTTTTAGAGTCATTTGACATGATTTAAATATGTATTTGTAAAACAAAGATTAAATAAATGTAGTAAAATACTTTAACTATTGAATAGTATGTGCTGTACATTTACTCATCTTTACTAGTCTTTTCTTACATTTTAACAAACTGGTACCATTAAAGGCACTGCTCTTTTGTTGTAGTGATGGTCACCTTCACTTTGCTGTTTCTACATTCTGTCAGCCTACAAGAGTTCCATTTTCAACAATTGTTAACTGTCACCACATATTATTATTATTATTATACAGGATTTATATAGCGCCAACAATTTGCTCAGCGCTTTACAAAATAGTGGAGACAGTACAGTTACAATACAATTTACAGTACAATACAGTTTCAGAACAATAGGGTTGGGAGGGCCCTGCTCGTGAGAGCTTACAATCTAGCAGGAGGGGCAAGTGATACAAAAGGTAATACTTGTTTGGATTGAATTATTGGAGGAAGTAAAAGCCAGTTATGTTGAGATGAGGTAGGCTTCCCTGAAGAGATGGGTTTTTAAGGATAAAAGATAGATATGCTGACAAATTGGGGTAAGGAGTTCCAGAGGATGGGTGACACTATGGAGAAGTTCCAGAGGCGAGCATGGGAGGAGGTAATGAGAGCGCTTGAGAGCAGGAGGTGTTGAGAGGAACAGAGAGGACTGTTTGGGTGATATTTTGAGATGAGATCAGTGATGTAGGTTGGGGCGGAGTTGTAGATGGCTTTGTATGTTGTTGTTAGTATTTTGAATTTTATTTGTTGGGCAAGTGGGAGCCAGTGGAGGGATTGGCGGGGGGGGGCAGACACTGAACGGTTGGTAAGGTGGATGAGTCTGGCAGCAGCATTCATGATAGACTGAAGGGGGGATAGCCTGCTTAGTGGTAGGCCAACAAGGGAGTTACAGTAGTCGAGACGAGAGATTACAAGGGAGTGAATTAGAAGCTTTGTGGTTTCGTTTGTTAAAAAGGGGCTTATTTTGAGTCGGCAAGATTTGGATGTGGGGCTGAAAGGAGAGCTCAGAGTCAAGGATTACACAGAGTACCCTGGCTTGATGGGAAGAGTTGATCGTAGTGTTGTTGATAGTGATGGGAAAGTTGGGGGAGGGAACACTGAGAGGAGGAAAAATTATACGGGGTGAGTTGAGGAGTGGAGAGATAGATTTGGGTGTCATCGGCATAAAGATGGTATTGGAAGCCATGGGAGGCTATCAATTGACCCAGGGAAGAAGTTTAGATAGAGAATAGAAGGGGCCCAGGGACAGACCCTTGGGGGACCCCACGGAAAGAGGAAGAGGAGAGGATTAGTGGCCATTGGTTTTAGCAGCTAGTAGATCGTTAGTAAGTTTTAGAAGGGCAGTTTCTGTGTAGTGTTGCGGACGAAAGCCAGATTGCAACGGGTCAATCTGTTCTGTGTTAAGGCCAGGTTTACACCATTTTCCAGACAGATCTGGCATGGGGTGCATTGCGTTTTGCCGCGATTTTACAGTGACTTTGCTGTGTTCTGGAGTGGGGAGTTTTTAAGCTTAAAATGGGCTTTCAGGTGCGTTCTAATCAGTTTCCATGCGTTCCAGTGCATTCTAGACCAGAGGAAATGAGACTAGCAGTATTTTTTTTGTCTGGTCCAGAACAGATTGTGCTGTTGTGGACAAAGCCCAGAAATACCATAGGGACACTTTTGGGATGCTTTTTTGCTCCAGAAATAAACTGTTCTGGTCTGGACATGAGCCAGACATGGTGTGAACAAGTAAAAAATTATCCACATTAATGAAATATTGTTAGTTTATTTATGTTATTTACTGTAATAATTTTAATTTGTATTTAAATAATATAGTAATTAGATGTA